CGTCAGCGGAAAGCAACATCTCGGTGGACGCGTCAACTGATTTGCAGTTGCAGTGGGCCTTGCAGAGGTGGGGCCTGGCGTTTGACCAATGTTGACATCATGGTGAGCGTGAGATTTGGGTGCAACAACCCTTGGGTCAGCTCACTAGGGAGATTTTCTCGTGTGTGTGCCAGTCAGGTAACCAGGGCTGTGGACCCTCATGGCTCAGGAGTTGCGACAGTCACTACAACCTGACAGTACTTGCAAATTTCCTATGGAGGAGAAGCTCAAGAAGTTGCGCACCGACCCAAGAGTGACCATGTTTTTGTTACCCTTTCCGAAGACTGCCGCGAAGGAGACGGACAAGGCAACGGGTTCAGGAGACAGGCCACCTCCGCCCAACAGGCGTCCGAAGAAGCCTAGGGTGTCAGCCAAGGCCAAGAGCATGTGTCGAAAGGAGCTCAAGGAGTTTGACCAGAAAGACGGCAAGGGCAACGCCATACGCTGGGCCTTCAACTTGAAGGGAGGATGCAAGGGTGACAGCCTGGTGGCCTGCAGATCGAACTGACAGCCAGCGGACGAGGAGAATTCGCAGCGTATTTTCTTGAAGAGAAAATTGCATGACGCTAAGGCTTCTTTTCAAAAGAAACAGAAGACAGCAGAGCAATTGGAGAAAGGCCCGAAACCATTGCCACACCCTCCAGGGCTCTTTTTCTAGCGAAGTGGACAAAGCGCAGCCAGGAGCTTAGGAAGGCAGAGGAGAGCCTGCGTGCAGGGCTTGAGCCTCATTTGCAAGAGGTTTTGAAGGGCAAGCGCCTCTTTCATCTTGATACTGGGGAAATGCTTCGTGAATTCGACGACCCTGACAAAAACCTAGTTGACGATATTTGCTGTGGTTTCAAACTCTCGGGTTAGCCCAAAAAGTCGAATGTTTTTCCCGCAAGATTGAAGAGGCCTTCTAACAGCTTGGAGACCGCCAGGAAGCTAGCCAAAGGGGTGATCGATAGCATATGCAAGCAGGTTGCCAAACCGAACAACCCGGGACTGGAAGCTGAAGTTTGGCGGTTGACCCAGGAGGAGATAGACAAGGGTTGGGCTTGGTTAGACAAGGAGTGCTATCCCGAGGAGCAGCTGTTGTCCAAACGGTTCGGGTTGAGACAGGGAGAAAGACCAGCCGCATTGATGACTGCTCGGTCGGGGGCTTCAACGGCGCCTGTGGATCTAGCGAAAAGCTAAAGGTCCACGCGGTAGACGAAATGCCTGCATATATAGCATGGTGTCTCACAAATCTCGAGCACGCCCTTCGAGAAGTTGTTGGGAAAATCTACGGCTTGAAGAGCGCTTACAAACAGCGCCCTAGCGACAGAGATTTGCTGAGAATCGCAGTGTGGGACCCAGTCTCCGAGCAAGTTCGTTTCTTGGCATCAACTCCCTCCCCTTTGGGGCTGTCGGTTCGGTGAGCGCCTTCTTGAGAGTATCCATGGCTATTTGGTTTGTAGGAATTCGTGGACTGGGCCTTTGTTGGACTAGTTTCATTGATGACTACACCGCAAACAGTGCAGCCATAACAGCAGAAGGGCTTTTCAGACTCCTTGGCATTGACTACGCCACCGAGGGCAAGAAGGTCGTTGAGTGGGACGCCAAAGTTAAGACTCTGGGGGTGGTTCTGGACCTGAAGCCGGAGCTGAGCCCGAGCGAAGACCCCGCCCGCTAGTCCTTTCGCAACGGTGGAGTCATTCCATGGGAGACGGTGAAATGTGAGACATGTGGCAAACATGTTGGTCAGTTCAAAAAGGATCCAAGCCCTGGTTCCCGAGACAAAGCAACTTGCTGGGTCCACACCAACGAAGTTGGAGGTGCCTTGGCTTCACAAGCAAGTTGTCTTTGACTGAGGTGTTTCTCTTGTGGCTCTGGTTTCATGATGAGTTCGGGTGACTAGGCAACACGCGCGCCCTTCAAGGGATCATCCACAAAGATTGATGAGAAGGGTGTGTTGGATTCTGCAAACACAAGAAATGTGGCTGTAAGTGAAAAAAGTTATGCGCTGAGCTGCTGCACTATGCTTAAAAATTCGCATTTGATTTATCATTTTGCAAGGTGCACGTTTTGATGGAATTTGGATCTTAGCAGTCAAGTTGAGCGTTCAATCTTGTCCTTAGTATGTGTTGAGCTGCTGCACTGATTCGCGTGTGACTTATCCTTTTGCAAGGTGTACGTTGTGATGGTAATTTGATCTTAGCAGCCAAGTTGAGCGTTCAGACTTGCGCAATCAAACATGCTGTTTATGATGGAAGCCATGGCAATCATGGTGACATTTAGTGTGGCTTTTGCAATCATCATGGTGGTGATTCACTTCTTCAATTCCTGTTCCACCAACATCGTTTACAATGAAGGCTTGTCTGATGAACCGAGTGCTGTTGGCAAAGTGCAGTTGTCTGACGATGATGACTCTTGAGTCTAAAAGCTGCATTTCTTGGAATTCCGATGATTCCGATATGTTATCATCACATTGGGGCACTGAGTCAAGCCCTGGCATTGAAAGAGTCTGGGCGGCCAGCCGCCAGTGGCGCCAATTGCGTGCTCTCCCAAGTATTGATAGACAAGCCTATTGCGTGATCTTTGATCCCAGATTTGAAGCAATGAATCAGAGTCGAAGCTGAAGGGCACTGTGCCAAACTCTTCATTTGGATGTCAAATTAGCAGACTTGTTTTTGCGATGGAGACTGGGCGCAAGTTCCATGTCTGCTTTGCTGAATTAGTTATGATTCAGGTTGTTCACAGTTGTTGGGCAAGTTGGCATTAAAAAAGGGTGTTTGCGACCTGTGACAGTCCTTGATAGTTATTTGATAGTCTCAGTCATGTTTTGATTGCTATGGTTTCATGTCATGGGACTCAGACTTGCAGCGCAGTAAGCTGAATAGCAGTGCACTTCGATCGTGCCTGCCAGGTGAATTATCATGAAGATCAACAATGGATGACCATGACTTGTTTGATGAGGTTGATGCTGATTGAGCTGAGTGTCTTGTCACGTATTGTTCAATTTTAACCTAGACTAAAAATCGCGCCCTACTGCATGCTTGACTGAGTTTGATGTTGTTTGCAAGGGTTGGAATCCCTGGCAGCGCAGTGCTCTTCAGCCAAAAACTGTCTAGTTAAAGTTTCAACAAACTTACTTTCAGCACAGTGTTCTTCGGCAAAAACTTGACTAGATTCAAACATCTTGTTACAGTAACAATCCCTGCCAGCACAGTGTTCAGCAAAAGTTTACTTACTTACTAGCTACTATTCAATAATCTTACAATCCCTGCCAGCATAGTTAAAGCTTCTTGACTACTTTCACAAAAAACTTTTCAATGCCTTGAGCCAAGACTTGACTAGTTGCAAACACCTTACTTTGTCACAACCCCCGCCAGCACAGAGCTCTTCAGCCAAAACTTACTAGTTCAAAAACTTTCAACGAGGCGAGGAGCGATTCTCGTAAAGGAACCGTTTGTCCTTAGTACTTATTTCATTATGTTTTGTAAGTTGACTTGTTGCTAGACTTGTCGTAAAGGGCTATGTTGAACTTTCATTTTGTCTGCAAGTTCACTGCAACTTCACTCGTGGCTTCGCTCGTGAAAACACTTTTGGTTCACTCATACTCATATTTTTACTCGTTGGTGAATTTTGTTCAAAATCATGTCTAATCATATTTGTGTTCTTATTTGAGTAATTCCTAATCACTTAGATCTTATTTGTGACAACTTTATGCTTAAGCAATGATTCACTATGATCAACACAATTTCAAAAATGCAAAAAGAGGACTGGCCAGAGTGACCTCAAAGGGCGCCCATCTGGAGGGTCAACTTTAATTTGCTGAAGTTGAGGAGATAGCGACGCAAAAACAAACAAAGGATGTGAGCGTTGAGGTGAATGAATGGACTCCGCCTGTGTTCGCAGATTGGCTCGATATGCACGACGAGTATTATCGAACTGAGAAAAGAACGGTTTTGCACCTGACACCATTCTGCTGCTATGCCAAGGGCCGTGCGTTGTCTCGTTTTTACTTCTGCAAGAGATGTTTGAAGACCAGACGTGAGGAGGGTCCGAGCCGCAGAGCGGTCTTGACACTTCACCTCGAAAGGGGGTGTGAAAGTGTATGGGTGCAGTACACTGATAGCGAGGTCCGTTTACAAGGAACTTTGTGAAGAGCAACTGTTTTGAGAACAACAGCAGCGCCCATGTTTAAGCGCTTTGTGTAGCAGTAGCTGTAGCTGTGAGGTTTTGCATTTCAAGTGTTTTGAGCATGCGTTCCTTGACGGAACTTTGTGTTTCGAAGTGTTTCGAGAGCTTTGGGAAGCTTAGCTTGTGGAATGTACCATGTTTGGAATTTTTGTGAACAGAAGTCTTCGTTGCTTTTGAGAGTGAATGGTTCTTGAATAGTTTTGTGCATATTTGAGTGCGTTTAAACTGGACACTTTCAGTTGCACGTGCTTTCGCTTTGTGATTAAAACGTTTGTAATCTACTTACATAAGGTAGTAGGTTTTTCAGGTTTTTGTCTCTTTTGTCCTCTCCGGTCCACTCGTTTTTTCCTATTTTCTTGTCTTCCACCTGGTCTCCACTCTTGCACTCCCATCTTCTCGTTTTCTGTTCTTTCCGGGTGACGCGATCACCGAATGAACACTGACGTCGGGTGTGGAGATGTTCGGATCAGTCAGAGGAAAAAGAGTGTTGTAGCAAGGGTCGGTTCCATTGTTTGTGAAAGTTGTCGCCCCCTCAAGCGCGAGCCATCACCGGTCTTTCAGATCAGCGGGGCACCAGATCAACGGATCATCCGACCAGCATCTGTTTGATCAGCAAGTCAGCATCAGGCAGCCCCGCGATCACAAGTTGGAAGGTGTGAGTTGCTTGCGTTGCCAGAGTGATGTTGGAAATGGCCAATGGCAAGCAGAGGTTTTTCGCAAAAACACTTTAGAGCCACCCGAGCAGTGGATGCGACATTGACTCATTGAGTTTTCGGTGGTTGGAGTGAATGCTCCAGCGTGAGATCATTCAGCGCGGTCAAAGGATCAAATCCAGAAGGGTTCTGTCCAACAGTGGAAATTTGTCTGGATAGACATGATGGCATCACAAGGATGATGGCATCACTTGCCACCAACCCGCAGCAAGTCGATTTGTTGTGTCTTGAAGGGCTCACCACTGTGTGTCTACTTTGGGCTGCCATTTCAGGAACGCATGTTGGCCTCAACATTGAGGGGCTCGAACCCATTCAGAACTTGGAAGGGAACCTGCCTTGCAAGTCAGCCATGGCAGCGACCCGCTTGGGCAAGTTGAGTGCTCCGAGCAAACCGGATGAACTGATGATTGATTCATTGGAGATTGATTCGGACATCAGCTCAGATATTGACCGCACTGACTCCATGTCATCGATTTCAGTGCCATTTGGATTTCCAGATGCTCGGTGTCATTGAAATGATTTTGTTTGTGATGAATTCAGTTTGACCTATTCCCCATTTGAAACCCTCCTTTGTGCATACTTCATGGACATTTCACAAATGTCATTAGTGAACAATACCAGAACTGCTGGCATGTCCAGATTTTGTGGCCCATGTGACATGGCCCATGCGGCTCCCACAGCTCAAACCGTTTGCTCAGGAGAAGGAGTCCGCTGAGTTGTTGGATAGCTATTTGGATGGCCTGTCAGCGGTGGATGCCACGGACGCAATGGTGGAGGTCTCATTCGACACGGAGAATGGACGCAAGGTGGCACTGCCCAGGGACATCAAAAGCCGCTCCGAAAGGCGGGGGTGGGGAATGCCCGGGATTCATGCAAAAAGAGCTTTGTTTTGATTGCATTTGCGAATCTTTAGACCCCCCACCGATGATGACTGCTTGCATTTGCTCAGAAGCATGCTGGAAATTGTGGTGATTTACGGTGGAATGAAAAACGCGAAAACCCTCCTTGAAGTTCCTTGAAGGCTTAGCCAGGGAGCCTGGCGCCAGTATGGTTCAGAGTCCAGTCCAAGTCCCAGCATGGTGGTGGGACTTTGAGGGCTCGCGGTGAGTACTGAGTACGGCGGAGGTGGCAGTTGAGGCTACGCACGCTTCAGCCCGTGCAAGACATAGCATCGTTGGCTTCTGAGGCGTCTCACAGTGGGACGACTGTCACACGCCACGAGAATATCGCCAGATTGTTGGCCGCCGTGCGGTTGTAGTGGCCCAAATATCGGCAGCCACTGGTTGTTGATGGAATTTAACCGATGCAAGGTACTTGCCCAGTTGACACCTGAAGGTGTGATCTCCACTGATCTCCAGCTTTTGCCCAGTTGAGGACCGACGCAAGCCGCCTCGGACTCTACACGTTTGCACCAGTTTTCATGAGATTTTCACTGCCTTGAGTGACTTGGTGAGCCTCCACCAACAGTGGTTGCCTTCTCCTAGTCTGCCAAGAGTCCTGACTAGCCTTTGAGAGGCAGGGCGTCTGCGAACACATTGTGCCCTTTCCTCGTACTCAGAACGTCTTGTTATGGAACATTAGATCAGAAGAAAAGAGATGCCTTGAACTTGTCCCACAGTGCATTTGGAAAGAGAATCCTTTTCGCAGACCATGTAGTTTTTGACCCTGCAATTGCTGCTCGACCGCTCGAGCGCCCTCAACATTTTGCGAAGAGAAGATGAAAAAGGATTGTCATGCTCTGACATTGTGCAAGAAAGCAATACAGACTAGGAGCAAGGACCCTACTAGGGGCTCCTAGCATTGCTACTAGGAGTAAGGACGCTACTAGGAGCACTCCGAAGATCAAATGAATCCAATGGCACGGATGCAGCTAGCCGGGCATGTTCTTTGATTGTAGCTGGGCATTGGATTGACGTCGTTCCGTTCCTTCTGCAGCGTGTGCTTTTCAGCACGAAAAATCTGAAAAGATTCACAGACCATTTGAGGTGGAAGAGAGATCTGTGATGCAGAGGCAGAGGAGTTGGAGAATACCGGAGCAACATCACAAATTTTGCAGACTGAATGCTCCCGTATGTATCATTTTCTTGCAATTGAGCAGCTCTCCAGGCTGTGAACACAAAAGCTTCGTCATGAGAAGAACACCCTAGGTGGTCAAAGGTGCATGACCAACACAACGGTGGACTGTATAGTAAAAGGTGTACTTGGCGTGTTTGGGAGAACTTGATAGCGGCGCGCTGTTGGGTGGTCACTGGACACCCTGTGTTAACATCGGCGGAACATGTCAAAGCTGGACGCATTCTTAGACGAGCTGGTCAAGGTTCGGGCTGAAGTGACCTGCGACAGGGATGCAGCTGGAGGCTGAAAACAACTGGTTTCTCGAGGAAAACAGTCGGACTCCGGGTCCATGTTAGTTTTCGGGAGTGGCAAAGGTCACTTCTTTTTCTTCCCTCCAAGCCCGGGCCCAATGACTTGGGGTGTCCTAGGACTGCATGGACGACTCCTAGTCGTCGTCGCATGGACATCCCAAGCGGTCGATCAAGTTTAAAGCCTAAAGCATGTTTTTTGAACCGAAAGACACAGTAATACAAGCACTCAGAGAAGGGTGCCTGGGCACTTTTTTAAGCATGGGTGTGGATCAAAACAATGCCTTAAACGATTGGTGAACAGAACTGGGTGTCCTTCATGGGGATTCTGTGAACAGAACCCACTGCCAGTTGTGGGTCGAAACCCAGGTGTTATGGAGTACATAGAGGTATTCAGCCAGCCTCCAGCAGGGTTTGGAGTTGCAGGAGTACATGCTTCTTTCTCTTTGACGGCTTGACATGGGCAGGTGCACATGCAGCAGCTGGACCCCGAAGCCACGGTAGAGGTGGAACAAGCTGCTCCAGTGACCTGGCGATGAAGAAAGGAAAGGAGTTTGGGTCTTTCTTTCGGGAGCCATTGGTGTCACATCCTTTTTCTTCTGCTTTCCCCCTTCAGAGGCTCCTGAGGACTGGCTCCGGCTTTGGTTGCCTTTGGCTGTTTTTGCCAGTTAATTGAGTGGTTTCCAATTTTCATGCAGACGGCTTTGAACTCTCTTGTCTTTGGGTGTGAGGTGTTTCTTTCAAGTCATTGCAATCGCTAGTTAGGCTATGCTCAAAGCTTCAAGCTTACTGCATTTGCTTGAGATCAACCACTCACAGATTACACAATCCTCAGAATCAAAATGATCGTTTTGCCATGAAGTCCTCTTTTGTATATTCATGGCAGACACTGTCAAGCGCGGTGTCATGTAGACATGGTCAATGATAGACATGTAGCTACAAAAACACATGGACTCGGGCTACTCTACAACTCGACATTTTTCTGGTCCAAGTGGAGTCCAAGCAAAACCCCGCCTCAGGTCAGCTGGTCGGAGATGGCAGTTGGCCTAGAGACAAGGGTCTGGGGGTAAAGATGTCTTGTTGGTGGTTTTGGAGGAGAAAAGGTTGGTTCATGCCATGAACGTATTGTGTGGGACTGTTCTTTCTTTGCGGCGCTGTTGGCAAAACACGAACTGTTTTCTGTCAAAAGCTTGGGCGCTGCGAGGCAAAAAACAAGCCCCTTTAAGAGTGTGAGTGTTGCATGGGAGTTTCAAGTCTTGTTTCCCTTGTTTTGAGGCCTTTGTTGGATTGAGCCCTGGCAGAAAGCAGCTTAGCAGGGCTGTTTCTTTGCGGGAGAGGCCTGGGAGGTTGGAAAGGCTATTCGTCATAGCCTAGCGTCAGTTTGGCCGCTAAGGATTCTCCTACTCTTATGTTACATTGCTGCGGATTACATGCCACTGGGCGTCAGACTTGGGAAACGATCAGAAGGTAGTCATGGTTGATCCTCCAGACTGTTCTCATGGTTGATCCTCCAGACTCCAGATCTTGCAGGTATCCCTATTTTGAGACCTATGTGCTGAGATGCACGGCGGCAACGAGAACCTGCGTTGAAACCGGACCCTGACGTCTCACCCCAAAAGTGGACCTTGGCGACCTGATCGACCCCGATCGACCGCGACCTGACCGCTGAGGAAAGAAGAAGAAGCGGAACATTCCGAAGGCGGCCGCCGGGCCAAAGCGCCGCTGAGTGGAGAGCACCCCGCCCGGCGACCCCGCCGCCCGCGCCCGCCCGCGCTCGCTCGCCTGCGGCGCGGCCGGCGCCGCCGCTGCGGTGGATGCGGTGGATGCGGAGATTCGGGCCATTGCTCTAATGGCTCAGTGACAGATGAATTGGATAGCGACAGGTTTGAGGACTCAAGGGTTTGCGTCGGGTGACCTGGACCGGCCTGGAAGATCCCACCGGTGGGTCCAGCGAGTTCTCGTCCCAAAAAAGGAGTGGCCGGAGACTGGCCACCAGCGACCTACACTCCGAGTCGTGAACATGGAAGTGGAACACCATGGACCAGCACTTGTTTGATTTGGTTTGGAGAGGAGAATGGTTGAAGGGTCATCCAACGGACCATGTTCCACTTCCATTCATTTTCGAGAGTTGAAAAGGAATTATCATTTTTCAGGTGAATGGCACCAGCCAGCTGTCTTTTCACTCACTTCAGCCAGTCTGAGACGACTAGATTAGATCTTGCTTCAGGGTCTACTTGTCTTGTCTTGAAGACATCTCGTGAGCGAGTCGAACTCACTTGATCCGGCTGATTTTGGCCCAGGAATGACACGACAGAAGGAGAATCCCCAACTGGTCGGGCGACATAGCCCTTGGTGCTTTCTTGGGTCGGCCCAGGAACACCTCAGCCAACATACCATCAGACTCCATTGGAAGTGTTTTGGTGCTTCTGAACCCTGTGGGGAGATCTCGGGCGCCATGTCGCGGGAAGGGAAGCTGCACACCAGGCCGGAGTGGAAGCAACAGAGCCAATCTTTATTGGGCATCAATAGGAAGCTGTGGATTTAAATTTCTATGTTGGCGAAACACTTGAATGTATGCAGCTCTTTTTCATGCTCTATACTCTATACGTCAGACTCCGATGCGAAAGGAAAACCAAGAGCCTTGTTGCTCTGTTCGTCCCTGTTGGCAGACATCTTCGTCTGTGCCGTTCTTCGTCCCTGTTGGCCGCGGTTCACCCGCCCGCGAGCGGTTTGCCTCCGGCGATCCGCGAGGCACGTGGCCTCCCTGGCCTTTGCGATGACCTGCGCGGGGCCCTTCGGCGTCGAGGAGCGCGGTGCAGCGGGCCGCTACTACGCGGGCCGTGCGCGGACCGTCGGACAGTCGGTGTGGGTGTCGACTCGGAACGAACCCAAGCACCAGACTCACCAGACTGCCTCGACTGAGGGTTGCTTTGAACGTGCTCTTTGCACTCAACGAAAGATGGGTTGATTGTGTTTGAACAGAGGGAGTCATTTGAGCCCTCCTCGTTTGCCGTTGTGCGTCGCTGACGTCGTGCTTTCTTCTGGGTCTTCTGGTGATGAGGTGATCGTCCTGGGCGGGGCCCCTGGGTCTTCATTCGCTTCAGCAAACGCAGGCAGCCGTGCGCTGCTTTGGTGCCCCGGCCTTCTTCCTGGGCTTGTTCGTGACCATGCTAGGCCGGCTAAACTTCGTGGATTCCCACCCGGTGACCGAGCTGGCCTCTTCGGGAGGCAGTAGGTGGCTGTCTCGAAAGCTGGAGACAGGCAGACGTTCCAGCGCAAAGCAGGTTGGTTCCTCAGGTCTTTTTGGAGCTTGGAAGGTCTAGACTTGGTCAGGCTTTCCAGCATCTCGGTACCCGGTAGAGAACCAAAACCATTTCATCACCTTCTTGATGATGGTTTGCTGGGCCGCGGCTTTTTCTGCGAGCTGCTCGCAGGCTACGTGCTACCGCAGATCTTCATGACTTGCGAGCTCTCGATGATGCCACCTTTGAGCAACAGAGGCGGATTTGAGCAAAACGAACACAGCGCCGGGCCGAAAGTCCTTCGTTCAGCGACAAGTTTGTTGCTTTGCTGGATCTATTTAGTTGAGGATACTGGGAAGAGACTGTGTTTGCTCGGGGGATGCTCTGGCTCCTCCGGTCCAGGTGTAGTCACCTGGATCTCCCGCGCCTTTGGCGGCAAAGCGGGCGAGTGTATCGGGCTGAACATGCTCCTGCACCTGGGCGAAGCAGAACGAGCGTGGGATGGAGACTCGTTACAGGGCGGGCAACCATCGTAAATACGGATTTTTACAAACTCGTCCCATCAGTTGTCATTGGTCCAAAGCAACTCACCATGGCGTCATAAGTGCTTTCAAATCGTGCGATCGGTTGTCATCGGTTGCAATCCAGCGCACTCTGTTACTTGAAGGTATCAAATCGTTGACCTTGCGACTTACACCACGGTGATTGTGGGCTATGCCGAATCGGCTGGATACGAGGCACGATGACATGATGAAACCTGTGTTGCGTGTGACCCTCAGCCGGTTGGAGTAACATGGACCAAGCATTTGATTTTGCTTGAACCAAGACATATTTTGCTTGAATTTCAATTTCTTAGAGAGCAGATGACTGTAGTGCTTCATCGTTGTTGGAGACTGTCAACCAGCGAATTGGTAACTAGCGCCTCCTATTTCATGCCTACCAAAGGTATTGCCGGATGTAATTTGGGCGACTACACTACACGTGCTAGGTTCATTCCGGTCTACCTGCCATCGCGCCCCTGCTGGCTATATCTGTGGGGTTGTGCGTGAACCTGCTGGCGGTTGAGATGGCAGCAGAGGTCTTCATGGGCGTGCTAGCCCTTGTACTGCTGCTTGGACAGAATCAGCATGACATCTTCGGCATCCTCTTTGACCTGGAAAGAAGAGAATATGAAGAAAAGGGCCGACTGAAGGGAAAGACTCTCCTGGTAGGAAAGGGCCCGGAAGAACCACGGGCGGCTTTTTCCGAGTCAAACGAGCGTCACTGGTGACCCAGCAGCGCTCTCGGTGGGTCGCAGCTCGAAACAGACCGCCTAGTTGGCGACCCCGCCTCACTTGTCTGATTAAGTGTTCTACTTGGTCATTTGGAGCAGTGCAAATTGGCCACCCCTGCCTGAACAGTGTTCTATCAGTTGTGATTCTGTGGGGTTGAAGAGTGTGTTGGTGGGTGTGTTATATAGATGAAAGGATCTTTTTGTATAGATGGGATTTAGAAAGGCTTTTGGCTTCGGCTTGCACTGGTCTAAAGAATTGGGTACTTGAGTCAGTCTAAGCATTTGTCCATTTGCTCCGGTCCCAGGCTGCCTTTCTTGCTGGGCCTCCGCTGGTCGGTTCCTAGTCTCCTGGGCACCAATTTTTGGTCCGGCGCGACGGTGACACAGCCTTCGAAGGTGGGGCGCGAAACGACCTTCCGAGTGGTCCAAAGTCGGAAGATGGTGAAACCGGCATTCATGTTGATGAGAAGTTGGCATGACGCCCACTTGACCCCGGATCATGCGAAGACAAAGCGCTGATTATTGGCTTGAGCGGCAACAGGGTTATATAATTGAGTTTGTTTGGCAACAGCCCAGCATGATCACCGTCGCCCACATCGAGGATTTCCTTTTTTCCAACCTCCTGCTTCAACTTTAACGCAGACAGTACGACCATACTGCGAGAATTACGCTGCCAACACGTGTGGCGAAGGCAAGTGATACAGTAGGATCAGACGGACCAAGCCTTGTTGTGAGACAGGACTGGAACCTCTTTTTCTCCTCCCTGATTTGGCTGAACACTGGCTGGGATTCCTTTGGGAATTTGGCTGAGGAGCAGCTGTGGTTTCGAACTTTGCTGCAGCCAAGTTTTTTAGTCTTGCGCTTGTAAAGTACACAGCCAACAATTTGGATCCAAGCATAGGGATGTGGACATTGCTTGTGTGGTGTGAGAAGTATTGGCTACTTTCATATATATATATATATCTATATATACACTCTCATATTATGGTTTGCTTTGTTTGCCTTTCGAACTGAGCCGTTGATTTCGAAGCGTTTGGTTCCGGTGACCCGTGCCCGTCGGATGCCTGCGAAATCAGCTGGGCAGCATGGGAGAAGTGACGCTACCGGCCTCACCGGAGAAGGTGAAGGTGAAGGAAGCCAAAGAGGCGGGGCAAAAAGGCTCCCAAAAGAACCGTCCAAATAGGTCCCGGCAGAACATTTGCTTAAAGACGAATTCATTGAATTATATACTGTATGTATTTGTATATATATGCTTGTCTATCACATAGCTGAGCTGATTCCATCTCAAGTTTCTTGGCTCAAGCCTTCGCCTGTGCATGTCCTTTTGGCCTCACGTGCTTGATCTTGCGCGTGAGCTGCGGTGGGCGTGGCCGAGCACCTCGTCGACTCCCTGCACTGGGCTCGGCTTTTCTTTCTTGATCCTGGCCATCCTAGCTGGCTGTGCTGTTGGTTGCTGCTGCGGTGCTTTTGCAACCTTACTGGTGGTCTCCAATACCTTCAGGAGGGCACTTCGACAGGTTTTCCTGGGTCTAGTGGCCTTGACCACTCCTGCTGTGGTGGTGACAGCTCCGCCTCAGGCGCTCCGTCGAAGGCTGAGCGAGTACCGGGACGGTGCATGAGCCAGCCTGGTGAACTGGACTCCGTGACCGTGCGGCTTGGAGAGTTATCGATTTCGATCACTCGCAGCCCTAGACGTCGATCTTCTGAGGCTTCTGGTTCTGCTGTGGTCGCCCCTGAGAGTGAGTCTTCATTCACCGTCATCACAGAGTCCCCCTCTCTCCAAGGTGCACTTGATCGCCCCGTGGAGGGCACTAGCACAGCAGACCCCAGCGTTTTGCGAGTTTTGGTTGACCCAGGTGATCCTTTCATCTCGGACGCTGAACCGTGGACTTGGGAGTGGGAGTCAGCTTTGTTGGCAGCTCGAACCCCCATTGAGTTCGAGAGGATTTGCCTAGTGCCGGTGCAAGGATTAGCTGGCCGCCTGAGATCTGCAGGCGGTGGCTGGTCGCCTCTAGCGCGGCTAGGCAGGGCCCTGAGAGCTGGCTTGATTGCCCGTGGTCGCCTCGAGCATCGAACTGCCTCTCATCCAGCTGGAGCCGACTTGCCCTTGGACAATCGCATCTACGTGATCATTCGCCCTCGGCCTGATCGTGAGCCGGGTTGGGACTGATCACTATCAGACCTACCTGGAGGAAGTCCGGGGTGCTACGACCAGGTTCCACGGGGACGTGATCTCACACGCATTCCCGTCCCGAAGTGAAGCAGAGGCCTACTGTGTTGGGGCAGGTGTGGCGTGGCCCGCGCTGCTGCAGCGCAGGCGCTGAGTGAAGAGAGCATCAGGGCCCTCTTGGGGGCCTGTGGGCCAACAGGTCCACTTCCTTCGCTTTTTCTATGCCTTCCCAATCGAGAAGATGGCATGGCCGTCAGAGTTGCTGCTTTCCTCATCAGGCTGCGCTCCGGTGGATTCATGGTGGCACTACCGGATATAGAAGAAGCAGCCCATTTCCTGCAGGCTCAGGAGACGGAGGCTGGCATGGAAGCGGCGGCTGCTTTGTTCGCCGCCAATGTGATGATGGAAACACCCAGAGGCAGAGCACTAGAGGAAGCAAGCATCCTCCTTGCAGACTTGATTTGGCCCTTAGCCACTCTGTTCATGCGGGGAAGCCCTCTGCGAGCTCCTTCCATGGTAGAAGTGTTGAAGTTTCAGGTGGGAGAGCAGCCGGCTCGTCCCAACCGTGGCAGCCTCGAGACAGCCGCAGATCAGTGGATCCACGAAACCATGGACGAAGACACCGCTGCGGACTATGTCACCGTAGATGGGGGCCCGTCGAAGAGGAAGAAGAACCTCCGGATGTTGTGGAAGGGTTGCAAAGGCGAGTTCAAGAGCTGGAGGCTCTTCTGTCGCAGCAACCTGTGGGTCGGCCGACTCAGGCTGCAACATCATCCATGACTCCAGAAACACCTCCTCGAGGAATTTTGTTCAATGCAGTTCCCAATCGGCGCACCCAGGTGCAGACTATGGCTACGCTTCGACAACTAGCTGGCACTCCGCCTCCGCGCCTTGGGGCGCACGAGAGAGCCGTGAGAGAAGCGCAGCCTGGCCACTTCCTGGAAACACTGCAACAGGAAGAGAACCTCGAGGCGGTGGGGGCTCCAGAAGTGGAAGAAGGGCTTCAAGAGTTGGAGGCTGCGGCGGTCGATCCACTGCAGAGGATGTTGTTGATGCAGATGAAGCAACTCCAAATACTGTCCAAACAACAGCAAGAGAAGCGTGTGGACCCTCTTCACGCCGCTCTGGGCGGTTCAGAGACAAGTGGGGGAGGCTCCGGCATCAAAGGATGCCTCGCCCGCGATGCTTATGTGAAGCTTGCCGGCGATGTCGCCAAGGTGGGAAACATCGTCCAGGTGAACTCTGCCACGGAGTTGGGCTTGGATCCTCACCAGGTGGGTTCAGGGCTGATGAGAGAGTATTTGGAAAAGCGTGTTCCTTTAGGCGATCAACGCCTGCTGACCCAGATCGGATATCTGTTCGCAGCTGCATGGGAGCACGGGTTCCGGACCGGGAACCACGACCTCATCGGTCATGCCTCTCGAGGAATGCTCTTCGTGGACCAGGCCGCAACAGATTTTGGTCGTACAAACCTGGCTTGGTTGTTGACCTCCCTGCCGGAGCCTCAATACTCGATCACGCAAAGGAATCGGACTCGGAATTCCATGAGTCCATTCACTCGACTCGCCCAAGCTTCATGGATAGCAGCAAATGTGTCCTACATGAAGGACCTGGATTATCTGGATGGGCGCATCAAAAACGCCAATTCCAGTGCGCTGAACACTCCCACCAAAGCAGAGGGCGAAGAAGACTCCACCACGAAGAAGCAGGCATGGAAAAAGAAGAAGGCCAAGCAAAAGGGCGATGCCCCAGGGGGGGCGCAGGAAAGTTGATGAATAACGAAACTGCCAGCTCTCAGCGTCCCGCAGATCCTCCTTTGCTGCGTTCTACTTCCTCTGGACGGGGGGATTGTATCCCTACTGTCTTTTGCGGTCGGGGGGGGTCTGTGGAATTCGCTGAGGAGCATGTGGCAGGAAGCAGTCAAGAAACGGATGATGGGCATCTCACGGCTGAGACGACTTTCCCTCAGGCTGTGGACTGTGACCTCAAGGGTGCTCAGATTCCAACCACAATTCAGTGCACCGAGCTTGTGCGCGCAGTTTTGAAAGTGTCTACTCTTCCTGGAGCCTTTCGCAGGTTCGTGGGGAGAAGCATGACAGAGTTCCGCATCGATGATGAAGGTCCGGTGGCTCCACGCTCGGACCTATGGCCGTGTCCCCCGCCTCGATGGCGGCGATGGACACCTATGCAGTCGCTTTCACCTCGGCGCCGGAAGCGCCATCGTTTGCTGGAGACGAAGGCTCTATGTGTCCAGCAGCTGGTGTTGGCCTTAAACTGGTTGACGTTGGGTCATGCCCACTCACCTCCCGTCTACGCCAGAGCAGGTTATCCCATGAGCGCACAGCAGCTTGCTATGGTTGAGCGGCTTGAGAACCTGGTCGAATACTACCTGGGTGCTCCGACTGCCGCCTTAGACAGTTTAGGCCGGGCTGGGGAGAAGCTGACTAAATTAGCTCAATTAGCTTTTAAGCTGAAGGACCCCTCGGATGTGTTTTCTGTTGAGGACCTAAGTAGTTTTTTGCAAAGCATTCAAAACTCGTTTGAACCCTACTCACGGAACCGACAAAGAGCAGCTCAAGCGTATGAGCCTCAGCCGGGCACGTACAGCAAAGACAAGGCCACGGCCGTGGAACCAGAGACTCGGGTCGCTTCTAGTTCTTGTGCAGCAATGCCAGTTGTTGCGAACAGAATTAAGTGGAAGCTTGCTCCAGCATTTGACCCAACTCCCTATCTCACAGACCCCATTGTGAAAAGAGCTTTTGCAGACCCGAACGTGCTTCGACGTCCGGAGCGGGACTGGCCACGTTTGCCAAAAGCCAAAGTTCATGCAGATCGAGACCAGATCTGGCAGCTTGCTGAAAAATGGGATGCACTCCACGCTTGCAGCTTGGTGGCTTGTGAGATGGTTCAATCGGCTGAAGCAGTTGGTTTATTTGCGGTGCCCAAAGATTCAGAATATGACAGACTTATTTTGAACCCAACGGTAGTGAACAGCCGGAGCTTTTCCTATGCCTCCTTCGCAAAAACCATTGCCCCGGGGTACTTGATGAGTTTGGTCAGGATTCCTCAAGATGAAAATTTGTTGGTGTCGTCAGATGATTTATGTGAATTTTATTACACCTTCAAAGTGAGCCCCTCGCGGGCACGGCGCAACGCCATTGGTGTGCGATTCAAAGGTTCAGATTTTGCAGGGTTCAGTTGCTATTCTCCAGCACTCCATGACAAGGAGGTCTATGTGTGTTTAAGCACCCTTGCAATGGGAGACGCGCTTGCGGTTGAAATTGCCCAACAGAGTCATGTCAATGTTCTTCGCAATTTGGCGTCTTGCATGCAGCTTCACGAATGTTTGTTGTACAGGCAACCAGTTCCAAGAGGCCCCTTTTTTGAACTCTTGACCATCGACGATCACATTGGGCTTCAGAGAGTCAAGAAGGATGGTTCCCTACCAGAACTTCATAGCCGTGACCTCCAGGTTTTCAAAGCAGCAAACGAAGCGTATAACCATGTGAACCTCACAGCACACCCTGGTAAGATGCGTCGGAGAGATGAGCATGCAGTTGTGTTAGGAGCGGAAATCGATGGCCGTGTTGGCCGCTGTTCAGCGCCGCGGGAGCGCGTTGCATTGTTGAGCTTCATCACAAGCATTGTCATCCATAAGAGGCTGGCCACCCGAAAACTTTTACAAGGACTGATAGGGTGTTGGACTCACGCACTTCTTTTTCGCAGACCCATCTTTTCAATCTTAGATGCTGTTTATCATGAAGGGGAAACTTTGAACGGGGATGTGCTGTTCAGAATTTCCGACTCTTGCCGAACTGAACTCATGTTGTTGTGCCTTTTGGCCCCTGCTATGCAAACTGACTTAAGAGCAGAAGTTGCATCAGAACTATATACGTTGGATGCTTCACCTTACGGCGGGGGCGTGTGCCATGCTGCATTCTCTACCTTTGGAGCGGAGGAATTGTGGAGGCACACTGAGCAAAAGGGTTTTTACACTCGTTTGCAGTCAGATTCAGGTGCAACATTGCGCGAGTTAGGTATTGAGCATGCAGAGTTCTTTGGAAATGAAGAGCGGCAGTCCCTGTTCTCCTCTTCTCCATATGCACAGCCTGAGTTGGTGAGTTTGCGGAAGAGTGTGCTGCAAGATCACACCCTAGTCAGTGACTGTATCGAACTTTTCTCGGGACAGGGGAACTGGAGCAGATGCCATGCAGCGGCAGGACTTCAGGTGCACCCGGGCATTGAGAGATCAGCCACGGGAAAGTTTTTTGGTGACTTGAGCGATAACAACACCTTTCGAGAGTTGGCATACCTTGCATACCATGGTGCTATCAGAGAATGGCACGCTGGTCCACCCTGTTGGTCATTCGGTACATTGCGCCGGCCTAGGTTGCGTTCAAAGGACAAACCCGCTGGTTTTGACATGACCGATGGACCTACACGTGAGCAAACGTTGCTGGCTATTAGGACAGCCTTTCTGTTGACATTAGCTTGCCTCAGTGGTTCGTTTGTTTCAGCAGAACAGCCAGGTGGTTCAGTAATGTTTTTGCTTGCCGCTTTTCAACGATTGCTAACTCTGGGGTGCCGGATCACCAAATTTTGTTTCTGCAGCTTTGGGACAGGGTTTATGAAACCCAGTAAGTGGCTACACAACAAGCCTTGGTATGATTCTTTAGCAGGCAAGTGCAGATGCAGATATAAGAATAATCATTTCACCGTACAGGGAACCTTCACTAGATCCTCCATCAGACAGTTCGACCACAGATGCAATCCGGACACGTTGACCGTGTACGGTCGGCAGCCCATGCCGGGCGAAGCAGTAAGCCGGTTTTCAGCATCATACCCCATTCCTCTTTGCCAGGTCATGGCTAGTGGCAGTTCTGCGGCCTTGAAAGGCGGCATCAGACCTCAGCAGACGAGTCGGGGTTTTTGGACGACTGCTGATGATCCGGAAGGTGATGAAGGACCTTCTTTTGTGCGTGAATGGTGTGACGACCCACTCTGGGTCGAAGACATTTGTGAAAGCTTGCCGTTCAAAGAATTGTTCCGTTACAAGTTCAAACGTGGTGGACACATCAACTGTCTTGAATGCAGGGTGTATAAGAGTTGGCTAAAGCATTGCAGCAAGAAGCATCCACGATGTCGTATTGTCAGTTTTTTGGATAGCAGGGTTACGATGGGTGCAGCAGCCAAGGGGAGGAGTTCATCCAAAGCTCTCAGTCGAATATTGAGAACTTCCCTCGGTTACATCGTTGGAGGCTGCTTATACCCAGGCGCACTCCATTGCCGATCCTCTTGGAATCGAGCAGACGGTCCATCGAGGGATGGTGTCGTGCCAGGTCCCTCCAGACCGATTCCAGACTGGCTTTGCGCTTTGCGTGATGGTGATGCTCGCTTGTTTGACCAAGTACTGGTCACTGCCAAGTGGACGCGTCCTGTCGGACGCTGGATCAGGCTGTTGCTCTTACTTGCGGGGGATATCGAACAGAATCCCGGACCTCCGTTGAACAACCTGGCTGGTTCAAACTATGCGCCCCGCGGCGAACTCAACTTGTTGGGCGGGTTTGCAACTGCGACCACTTCACGGATGAAGAAATGTTTGGACAGCTTTAAGTGTTGGCTTCTTGAACAAGCTTTGAGTTTTGAGGATGTGAGTGCAACTGCTGACGCGATGAACTTGGCTTTGCGAGCTTACGGGCTAGCTCTTTTTCGGGAAGGTAAACCAAGGTATCTCCTGGTCTATGCGATCACGGCCATTCAGCAGATCTTTCCAGAGTTTCGTAGGCAACTTGCGGGGGCTTGGCAGATTGATATGAAGTGGCAAAATGAAGAGCCCGGACAATGCAGGGCTGTTCTGTCTGCCCCAATCCTGCGAGCCTTGCTGACGGTCGCCTTGATTTGGAACTGGTTTTCTTTTGCAGGCTCAATCGCATTGGGCTTCGGTGGAACGCTCCACCCAAGCGAATTGTTGGGACTCACGAGGCGAGATCTAATTTTTCCAGAAGATGCTTTGACACAGCAGCCTTTTCTATACATCTACATCAAAAACCCCAAAACGGCACGTTTTGCCAGGAGGCAACACGCACGTATAGACGATGTCAGTTTGATTTTCTTGGTACGTTGTATCTTCGGTTCACTTCCTTTGTCTTCAAAATTGTTTCCGGCGTCAACCGCGGTATTCAGACGACAATGGAATGGGCTGTGTGATCATCTGGGAATTCCTAGGCGACAAGCTGATAGGGGGGCTACGCCTGGAGTGTTGCGCGGGAGCGGTGCTACCCATGAGTATCTAGAAACTTCGAACATTGCACAAATACAATGGAAGGGTCGGTGGAGCAGAATCAAAACATTGGAATACTATATCCAAGAAGTGGGGGCGCAACTGTTCCTATATAACTTGCCTGTTGAAACACGTCGAAGGATTTCGCTTCTAGAATCGCATTTGATCGTGGTTCTGAAACATGTGTTTCCTGAGCAATTTCATTGTTTGTGCAGAGCAGGATAGCGAGGGTGGAAAGCTTACTTTACTACATTGCTGTGCTTTCGCTTCAGTTCATTGGA